TCTTTTTGATGTGTCTTTGATTTGGTTTGCTAATATTTTTTTGAGGATTTTTGCATCTATATCATGAGGTATATTGGTGTATAATATTCTTTTTTTTGAAGTGTCTGTCTGCTTTTGGTGATAGAGTGATGTTGGTCTCATAGAATGAGTTTGGAAATATTTCCTCCTCTTCCACTTTTTAGAATACTTTAATAAGAATGGATATTAGTTCTTCTTTAAATGTTTGATAATATTCAGCTGTGAAGCGATCTGGTCTTGAGATTTTGTCTGTTGGTAGCTTTTTGATTAACAGTTCAATATCATTACTGGTAATTGGTCTGTTCAGATTTTCTGTTTATTCCTGGGTCAGTCTTGGAAGGTTGTATTTTTCTAAGAATTTGTCCATTTCTTCTATGGTGTCCCATTAATTGGCATGTATTTTTTCATAGTATTCTCTAATAATTCTTCATATTTCTATTGTGTCAATTGTAACTTTTCCTTTTTTTTCAGATTTTATCTGTTTCCCCTCTCTCTCTCTCTTTTTTTTTTTTTTTTTTTTTTTTTTTTTTTTGGCTAGGGGTTTGCCTATTTGGTTTATCTTCCCAAAGAACCAGCTCTATGGTTTTATTTTTCTCTATTTTATTTAATTTTGCTGTGATCTTTATTGTGTCCCTCCTTCTACTAGCTTTGGGTTTCATTTGTTTATTTTTAGTTTCTTTAGTTGTGAGTTTAGACTGTTTATTTGGGATCATTCTTGTTTCTTGACATTAGCTTGTATTGCTATGTACTTCCCTCTTAGACCCTCTTCTGTGGCATTTCACAGATTTTGGATTGTTCAATTTTTGTTTTCACTTGTCTATGTATTGCTTGATTTCTGTTTTAATTTGTTCATTGATCCATTGATTATTTAGGAGCATTGCTTAGCCTCCATGTGTTTGTGGGTTATTTTATTTTTCATAATGTAATGAATTTCTAGTTTCATACTATTTTGATTTTAAAAGATGTTTGATACAATTTCAATCTTTTTAAATTTAGTAAGGCTTTTTTTGTGTCCCAACATGTGATATATTCTGGAGATGTGTACTTAGGAAAAATGTATCCTGCTGCTTTTGAGTGGAATATTCTGCATATATCTCTGAAGCCCATCTGATCTAATTTGCTGCTCAGTGACTAGGTTTCCTCATTTATTTTCTGTGTGGGTGATCTATTGGCGCAATTGTGGTGTCAAAGTCTAATATGATTGTACTGCAATCTCTTTCTCCCTTTAGTTTTGTTAGCATTTATTTTACATATTTAAGTGCTTCTATGTTGGATACATAGATATTTGTTATATTTTCTTGTTGGACTGATCCCTTTATTATTACATAATTTCATTCTTTGTCTCTTGTTACTTTTTTTGTGTTGAAGTCTGATATAAGTTCTTTTATCTGAGATAAGTACTGATATTCTTGTTTTATTCTCACTTTCATTTGAATGAAATATCTTTTTCCATCCCTTCACATTCAGTCTGTGTATGTCTTTAGGTATGAAATGAGTTTATTGTAGGCAGCATATAGATGGGTCTTCTTTCTTTATCAATTCTGCCACCCCATGTCTTTTGGTTGGTGCATCAGTCCATTTACATTTAAAGTATTTATTGATAATTATGCACTTATTGTCATTTTGTTAATTGTTTCATGTTGGGTTTTATAGATCCCCTCTGTTCCTTTCTTCCTGTCTTACACTCTTCTCTTGTTATTGATGGTCCTTTAGTGTTGTGATTGGATTTCTTTTTCTTTTAATTTAAGTTTTTGTGTATTTATAGGCTTTAGGTCTGTGGTTTCCATAAGGCTCATAGTTTCCTAAATATATAGCAGTCTGTATAAGTTGATGGACACTCTATTTGAACACAGTCTAAAAGTACTATTTTTTTATTCTTCTCACTTTATATATTAGATATTATAATATACTTTTTTTGTGTACTCCTTGACTGATTTTGTGTACAGTTGATTTTACTATTTTGCTCTTGACTGATTTTCTGTACAGTTGATTTTACTATTTTGCTTTTAAACTTCATAATAGGTTAGTAAGAAATTGGGCAACTACCTCTACTGTGGGTTTGTTCTCACTGATGAAAGATATTTAGATTTAAGAACATTTCCATCTACAGAAGCCATTTAACTTATCCTGTAAGGCTAGTTTAGTGGTAGTGAATTCTTTGCACTTTCATTTATCTGGGAAACATTTAATCTCTCCCATTTTGAATGATAACCTTGCTGGGTAGAGGATTCTTGGTTGAAGGTCCTTCTGTTTCAATACATTAAATATTTCATGTCACTCCCTATTGACCTGTAAAGTTTCTGCTGATAGCCTTATGGGGTTTTCCTTATAGGTAACTGCCTTTCTCTTGCTACTTTTAAAATTCTCCCTATCTTTAATCTTTGCTATTTTAATTACTATATGTCTTGGTGTTATTTTTCTGGGGTTCCTTTTGTTAGGGGCTCTCTGTACTTTTAGGACCTAGGTTCTATTCCTTCTCAGACTGGGGAAGTTTTCAGCAGTTATTTCTTCAAAGAGACTGTCTACTCCTTTGTCTCTCTCTTCTCTTTCTGATACCCTTATTATGCAAATCTTGTTTTATTTAGAGTTGTCACATGGCTCTGTTAGCATCCTCTCATTTTTTAAAATTCTTTTTTCTCTGTTTCTCAGCTTTGTTGTTTTCCTGTTCTCTAATTTCCATCTCATTAATCATCTCCTGTACTTGTAGTAATCTATTATTGATTCCCTCCATTGTATTTTTCATTGCAGTTACTATATTCTTCAGTTCTGAGTAGCTCTTTTTCAAATCTTCAATCTCTTGTTGAAGTTCTCACTGAAATAATCAATTCTTTTCCACAGGTCAGTGAGCAATTTTATGTCTGTTACTTTGAGATCTTTATCAAGAAGATTGGTGATCTCCATTTCATTTGGCTCTCTTTCTGGTGTCTTATCTTATTCTTTTATTTGGAATATATTTCTCTCCCTCCTCATTTTGTCTGGATTTCTGTGTTTCTTCCTTGGTATCAAGTAGATCAGCTATGCCTCCTTGTCTAGCAGGTAATGGCTTTATCAAGAAGGCATCCTTTGGTGTTCAGAAGCTCAAGACTCTTTGCTGTCCGTGGGCTGTGGGTGGGGCTACCAGTCTGCCTGTCTGCCAGCAGTGGCTAATCTCTGTCAGCAGAGGCTGACAGCTTGCCTCTGTGTGCCTTTAATGTGATGTGAGGCATTTCTGCTGCAATTCATGGTTGGCAGGGCCATGCTGTGCTTGCTGGGAAGCAAAGGCAGCCACTGCTGGGCCGGCAGTATTGGCAGTGTGGGTGCACAGGGGAGCTCGACATGGGGCTGAACTGTTAGCTAGGAGGAAGGAATGTTTGGAGCTGGGCCCTGCAGGGCTGGGAAGCTGGGAAAGCTTCCCCCACCTCTGATAGGCAGCAAAGTCTGACCACTGCTGGGCCAAGCTGGCTGGATGGGTAGGAGTGCCTTGGGACTGAGTCCCCAGCAAGGGGGATGGAGCACTTGGGGCTGGCTTTCCTGAGCACCTGACAAGTTGGGCTGAGGGAAGGCTGGGGAAGCATCATCCACCTGCCCTTTCTCCTCCAGAGAGAGCTCCTTTTGACTCCCTGCCCCTCTGGTACACTTTCTGCTTCTGGTAAGTCTTTCAAACTGCAACTTCTATGTTGGGTCTCAGACCAACAGAGCATGCCTGTCCTCCACAAGTGGCAAGAGTCTCAGTCTCCCAGAGTGCTCCAACTCTTTCTGGTGTCTAGACTCATTAATCATCAAAGCCAAGTGCAATGTGGACTCCTGTTTGCAGAGCAGATCTCTGGGCCAGGTGTGCAGGATTCTTGCATGCTTATCCCCTCCCTGCTCTGTTCCTGTCCCTCCTGATTGTGGGCTGGAATTGGGGAAGGGCCTAGGTCCCAACTGATCATGGCTCTGCCACTTTACCCTTCTGTATGTGGTCTTCTCTTCTTTATCAGGTATATATAGATGGTCTGTTCTGCAGTCTTCAGGTAATTTTCAGGGTTAGTTAAATTCACTGTAGTTGCTTCTTTGATGGGAGGAGGTTTCTGTCTTGCCTTCCACTATCTTTTCCCCAAGATTTCCAAATTTCTTAACTTGGTATTCAAGTCTTTTCAAAATCTACTTCTACATTTCCAATACTATTTCCCATACTCTTCTTCACAAATTTAAATTTCCAATAAAGTGAGTTACATGTGTTTTCCCATGGCTTGAATTTCATCACTTCAATGTTGCTCATGTTTCCTTCTTGGTTTGAAAAGTCTTTCTGCACTGCCCTGTATACTGAAATCTTGTCCTTGAGCCACAGTCTTATCCAATAAGACTCCTGTGATTATAACAATGAAAGCATTTTCATTTTTCTCTCAGTTTGCCTTGAAATTTTTTTTTCTGTATCTTCATGATGCTGGAATTTCTATTAGGAAGTAATTGATCACACATGGTAGCTCATCTGCTGTAGTTAAAGATCTTTTAGGACAATCTTTTAAAAATAGAAGTCTGATCAAACCATTTATTTGCTTAACATTTTTCATTGGTTTCCCATCATCAACAGAACAAAACATAAACTATTTAACATGACATAATTCTTTCCATTAGTTATCTCCTACTCTCCCCTTAGTTGAGTCTCCCACCTTTCTCACATGCACCCTATTTTTCAGTCAAACCAGTTGACTGAAAAAGTATCTGTATAGACATAGTTGTTTCCTGATGCTATGCTTTTGAAATACTAGCTCCTAGATATATTTATGGAATTAAATTGAACTATACTATACCACAGGCATGTCAAAATATATGAAATGCTGAAGAATGAGTGAGCTCCCTGTTGGCAACTGTACATCATCAGTAAACCTACATGGATACCTTGAACACCTATTACAGTCTCAGAAATTTGTAAAATGTAATTTGTCTCAGGTTCTCTTGAAATCAGTTGAAATAGATCTAGTTTTAGTTACTACAGATTGAACTTTGGAGAAGTCACATACCTTGACTATTCTTCTGGAAAGAGCTGTTAATTTTTTCAAAGGACTTTGGGTATATTTCACTGTGATGATTGGAGCCAATGCAAAAAATATCTTAATTCTTTTAGCCAGCTCTGAAATTGTGGAGAATGCTATGAAAGCTGAAAGAGAAGACATTGCTAATTTATATATTTAAAATGAGTCTTAATTAATTTTGAGCAATAGAATAATTAGTCACATTAAAAAAGCAGCAAATAAAAAACAACTCAAGGTAAGTACCATTTGTAGGGAAGGATTTTTAAGTTCCTCAAGGATGGAATTGGTTAGCTGACTCATAATAAAGTGAGTTTCTTACCTCTGGTGAATGCAATCTATTTATAGGGAGTGATGTAGAAAAGGATCAAACTTCCACTGTGGGACATGTAGGTTAAACCTTAAAGGACATTCTAGCTTGACCATAGTCTTTGGTATCAGACAAAACTAGGCTCTAATTTTGATTTCACATTCACTGGCTGAGTGATGAAGACTCAGGCAAATCACCTCCCTTGTATAAGTCTTAGTTTCCTCAAATCTGTAAATATGGGAAATAGAACTCTTCTAGGATGATGCTTTTGAAGGTTAAATGATGTTTATGTAAAAGTTAAAGCATTATTTGGCACAATCACCATTAAAAAGTATTTCTAAATTTAGCCATTTGTTAAAATAGGGATGATAATGGTCTCAAATTTTCATAGTTCCCAATGAGAGAATGTATATAAGGTACATTGTCCATACAGGCATATGGAGACCTAATTTACACCAGGAACTTGTTTAGGATTAAGGCACAGAGAAGAAACAGCTGTTGGAAATGCTGTTCGTGGTCTTGAAGCTGGTAGCTTAGTGGGAAGGAGTGGAGGGTATGAAGTCCTCATGGCACCGTCAGCATGACCCCTTCCACCTCTACCCCTCCCTAGTGCCTCCTGGACAATTCTCTTTCCTTCAGCCTTAGATATCAATCTCCAGATTCAATTCTGGGGGAAAAAATCCCTATTATCACCCTCATTTTATTTTCTCCTCAGAAACCCACGAGAGGAAATGATTTCCCATCTCAAGTCCTCAAGTTAGAGGCTGAGCGTAGGGAGGAAACCCTGACCCATTTCACAAATATAGAAGAAGAATCTCTGACACTCTCAGATCACACCTGCCCCATACACACTGATCGTGGTCCCTTGGGAGTGGCCCACATAGTAGAGTTGCTCCTGTCCAGTTTTCTCTACAATAAAATCTATCGTGGCTGGAAGGTCTTATTTAGCCATCTCATCCATACTGCCAAAGAAAAAGAACAAAAAAATTGGAATACACATCTCTTTGTTAGGCCTGAAATATTTAAACACATTCATTGTGGACGTAGATACTTTGCTTTTGTTAACTGTAAGACTAGAGTCAACATATGATACTATGCAACTGTGCAACTCTTGAGAGTGGTTGGTCACCTTGATTGCAAGAATGACATTACTAATTAACCAAAACTGGAAGGATCTGACTTGCAAAAGCCTACAAAGATTTTTCCTCTAAGGTACTTATGTTCACTTAATTTGAAAACAGATTTACCAAGCTCCTTTGCAAAGAGTAATTACCCGGAATGCTTATTTAAAAAACAGAATAAAGCAAACAGGTTTGTGAACATCAGCCCGGACAGTCTGAGTCAGAATTTCCAGGGAAGAGGCCTGGTAATTTACCTCAGGTGCTTCTTTTCCTGTGTGCCGTTGGGAAAACACTCACTTAGGGCGTCATCGTGTTATTTGCAATAGTGCAATTACATTGTGCAATTAGGAAATGCCAGATGGCTTCCAGGAGTAAGGCAGGAATGAGGCCAAGGAGCAAATGGCTTTAGTGACCTTCAAGGCGTGGTTCTTAGCTCGCATATAAGTGCAGGGCTTTGCCCATGTGAGCAAGGGGGTGTGGCTTCTAGAGCAGACATCACTGTAGGGGCTGCTGTTGGCAACAGTCTGATCATTAGTCATTTTGTGCTCATGCTTTCTCCTTACTTCCCCAGGATGTGACTCCAAGGACAAGTTTCAGCACTACCAGCCTGTGGAGGACAGAGTTCCTTCACTACTCAGTGGATAAACATTTGAATGTCATTTCTGCACAAGCTCAAGTCTTACTTGGCTTATCATGAATGTCTGGTACCCAGAATTTTCAACCGGCATCTTGTTTCTGGTCCCATTTCTCAAATCAGTTTCATTCTTCCTCTTTAGTAAGGGTACTATGCAAACTTCCTTTGGGGTGTACATTGATAGTGATAGTTGGAATTAGTCTTTCTAAAGTTGACATCTGCATTTTGAATTTTTTTACATATATGTTTTGTATACCCATACACACATATACATATCCCTGACACCACCCAACAAGTGCAGTTTTTAAAACAAACATCAGTGCAATAATAAGGGCATTTCCTTAGAGACTGTGCACACAGCCTGGTGAGAGGAAGAAATGCTCGTTTCCTTCTTGTTCAAATATTCCAGTGGGTGCATTTGAACAGAAAAGGCAAAAACAAAGGACGTTCATCTGTATATATGAGCTAAGTACACACTTTACTCATGAGTAGGTATCCCCTTACCTGAAGGCCCAGTATTCTGGCGATTCAGGTGAAAATTTCAAGTGTTTTCTGGCCAGGTGTTTCCCCGGCTGTTCCCCATCCACACATCATAACCACTATCTGCCAGAAGGAAGGCCAGGCTATTGTTGGGCAGGTTGCAAATCCAGTTACTGGCAGATGCAATTAAACCATGTTGCAAATACACAACAGGTTTTGGAGCTGCAAAATACAGGCAACAAAGATTTTGTATCTGAACTTCCACAGTGTCTGCAAAAAATTCTCTTTCCTGACTGCCTAGAAGAGACGTTAAAAGGTGAAATTTAGCACAAGGCAAACCTGGCTTCTAGTCCTTTTTGAACTACTTATGTGGGCAAATTATTCATCTTCTCTATGTCTTGGTTTTCTCTTCGTAAAATTTGGATTATATGAAATACAGTGTGTTGTTCTGTACATGAAGTCAGATTGTCCTGGTTCAAAATCTATTCTGCTATGTATTAATCCCTCTGTGCCTCAGTTAATTTTATCTGTATAATGGGTAATAACAATAAATTCTACCTCATGGTGTGGTCATAAGAATTAAATTAGAATTAAATTCCTTAAAAGACTCACTAGCATGATAAATATTTGCTCTATTATTATTACCCATTTAATAACATTTTATTCATCAAGAAACATCTGATTATAAAATAAATTTTTCTTAAAATAATAGCAAAAACAGTAAAAATGGCATTTGTTGCATGTTTCCTGAATGTGAAGTACTATGCTAGATTTTACACATGCTGCTTAATTTAATTTGCACTGTCCAAAAGCAAAATGCAAGGTTTTAAGGAAAATGTTATGCAATGTAAAGTTCTTGATTTGATACAAAAGTCTTATTCTCTATGTATAATTAGAACAATTTGACTAAGAAAGAGAAAGGAGAAAAAAGAAAATGGGAAAGTGTTGTTGAAAACACAGAGAGAGAAAGTGACTAGGATTTTCCTGCCTTTTATAAAATGGTTTGTGATGCTGTGTGGGAACCCCAGGACTCTTCCTCAGGTCACTTCTTGGGCTCAACCAGCTTCCTGAGATTGGTAGGCTAGGCTGGATTCTCAGAGAGCCCTCAGGCATCTTGAAGCAAGGAATTAAATCCGTGAGAAAACAGAAAGAAGAGGTGTTACTAATTCTGCTAAATTATTGCTAAAGAGCGGTCATAGATCTGAGCCCTCAGGCTGCTTCTCATGTACAGCCAGCTTTCCATTTTATACATTTGACAACTACCTGGCAGAACTGATAAGGTAAAAATCTGGGGAAACAGTTCTCATGAATATTTAAAAAAGGTAATGGAGTTGTATTGGGAGATGGTTCCTTCTATAAAATCAATAATATCTCTCTGTTTTTAAAAATCTACATTTTCTCTTTAAATAATAATGAATCCCTCTGATATTAGGGAATTTTGTTATACAACACTCCAAAGAATAGAAGGGACTAAAAAATGAGAGAAGAAAGCGAACAGTTCTTGCCAAGTGGATCCCTCTTTTCTCTGTGGATATCAACCAGTATTGTAGGGAGCTAGAAATGACTCTTTAATTAAAGTTTAAGTATTGAACTAATAGGGTCAGATTAATTTTTTTTTTAAAAAGCTTCGGTGACTTGGTTGGAGAACTAATCACAATGAAGTACTGCCAGTTATAAAGCTATTGTGGTGGCTGAAGCAAAAGATGATGATGGCCAAGTCTAGACTTGAATGATAATGAAGCTGAGAAAAGTTTTCAGGTCGCAGCAAAATTTGGAAAGCAAAATTGGTGTCTATTGGTGATTGGCTAGATAGAGGAGGAGAGGGAGAAGAAAGTACCAAAATGATTCTTAGGTTTCTGGTTTTTAAGCCTGGAAAGTGATATCTCTAGAGTAAGACCAAGTTTTTTGTTTTTGTTTTGTTTTTCTTTTTGTGTGCGTGGGTGTGTTCTTTGGAGGGAGGAAAAAGTCATGGAGAAAAGAAAACACTAGATAAAGAGTGTGTGAAAATGCTTTAAAAATTACAAAGGGTTATCCAAATGCAATGGAGTAGAAGAGATGGAGGTGAGAAGTTTCCTCCTTTAGTGGAGGAACAAAAGCTGCCCTGCTGCTGTCAGCATATCTCAGAATCTCTGCATTAGGCATTATTTGTTTCATAGCACAATAAATCCTACCTGTTCTGGAACATCTTCTTCCAGAAGGAATCCTGTAAATTCTGAGGATATAACCATCTGTTGTGATAACATCATACTCTTCACAAGGATAACCCCTGTAGGAAATAATCTGGCTCTGAAAAGAGGACAGGAAAATATACACCTTCACAATGGAATCTCTTGACTTTTATGCATACATTGCAACGTAGTACTTTGAGTCACAACTTGCAGCTTGTCTGTGTGTTGGGACAAAACATAGCAGGAAAATCAGGATAACCCAAGGAGGGTATTAAAGGCATGGTAAGGCAGGGTGGGGTGACCGCACATCCTGGTTTGCTTGGCCTGTTATTATTAATGAATTCTAGTTCACTCTCAAAATGTTTGACAAAAAGTATCTGGTCATCTAATGAGGGAAACTTCAGGGGATTGTACAGTACCTTTGGCTAGTGACAGGTGAGCTGTTAACCACCTTAGGCCTGAAGGGAGATGGGGGCAAGGGGTCACCAGACCCAGAATGAGAAAGTCAGGTAGGGAGGGCCACCCTGAAAGGGGCTGTGCTCATAGCAGAGGGAGACAGCCTGCCTTAGCTGACCTCATGGAGGGAGCCAGGGCAATAAACTGTCTGACAACTAAATTGTCTAATCACTCTCTTACCTCCTCTGGTCTCCTGTTCAAGATTTCCATTGATTGAAGTGACCTGAAAACTAATGGTCAAGGCTGCTTGCTGATCTTGTTCTTACAAGTCAGCTTCTTGGGCAAAGAGAAAAGTATAAAGAAAAGAGAGTAGATTTGGAGGGATAAAGAGAAGATATCCCAGCTATGGATATACAAGGAAGAGGGGAGCTACTGTTTATCAGTTATCTTCTGCATAGAGGATGGTTTATATTCCTTGGTTATTAATCATTACAACAGGCCTTTGAGATAGAATTACATCTATTTTACAGTTGAGAAAACTGAGTGTCAAGAAGATTAATAATCTGTCTGAGGTTACTAGGAAGAGATAAAGACAAAAGCCAAAGTAAGTTTAACTCCAAAACATGCCTTTGCCATAAGATTATGCCTTTACCCAGGCCAGGAACACAAGAGGTATGTATACATTATGGAGCTACATAAAGCAGTGGTTATGAGCCCAGACTCTAGAGACAAACTGTATGGCATTGAATTCCTTTCTTTTTAGCAGTGTAATTTTGGGCAAGTTACTTAGCCCTTTTGGGTCTCATTTCCTTCAACTGTAAGGTAAAGATAATAATTATATTTTCACAAATTTGTTGTGATGATACATTAAATATCTAGATCAGTGCCTGGGACAAAGTACATTTATAAATTTCTATTCTTCTTCTTATTATTATAAGATAATTAAGAGCCAAAAAGCATCCAGACCAGATAGGAAGAGGAGGTGTGTGAAAGTGGAAAAAAGGGAAATATGGATTTGGGGGCATATATTTATGGACTGTGAGTTCAACAATGTGGTAGGAGGCTAGGGGTATCTGCTGGATACTTTGGAGAAAAGAACAAGAAGAAACACTAATTTAAACTTTGACAGCCGCATTCCTCCTAAAGTTTTAATGCAAACTTTGGTGTGGGCAAGGGCATCGATGGTGCACAATATATACAGGAATTTGGAGCATCCCATTGGGATAAAGCCTATAATAGATACTTACCACTTGTCTTTTTTTTTTTTTTTTTTTTTTTTTTGACTAGCACTGTGCCAGCCCATTCTATTCCATCCACTTTTGGTATGAGTTCCTGCATGTTAAGATATTTCTGGTTATAAGCAACCAAAATCAATTCTGGCTTATTAACCCCCCAAGAGTACACTGATGTAGCTCACAAATCAAAGAAATTGTTTTAGAAACAGCCTCAAGAAGAACTTGGGATCCTCTCCAGAGATCATCAGTATGAACTCATGAAACTTCTCTTTAGGAAATGACCATCAGATGGTCGCTCAAACCACCAGGAAGGGGAATATTACTGCCCCAACTTGGGTGTTTCAACTCTTAGATTAAGTTAGTCATGCCAAAGAACAGAGGAGGAAGCACCCAGAAAACTAGACAGGCTCACTAATTATATCTAAAATGAGGGCAAATTAATAATTCCTTATCTATATTTTTTTCCTTAATGAATGACTTACAATATTCATATAAGCTTCAGGATTTGTGGTGCTTCCTTTCTTCTGATAACCATATATAGGTCCAAGAAGTAGTATCCAGCATACTGCTACCAAAAACTGCCACATTTGGGGTCTTCCTGGGAAAGGAAATAGGAATATATTTGTCATCAAAAAGAATTCTAAAAGTGAAATTTGGTGTAACCTTTCTACAACACTACTGTGGGAGGGAATAGAAACATGCTTCTAGCCTGTGATTTAACAAGTAATATACTTAATTATTTAGGATTCATACCATGAAAAATCTGAAATGGTGACTTTTAAGAAAGAATGAATGAGAGGAAAGGAAAGAAAGAGAAGGGAAAGAAAAAAAGAAAGGAGGGAGGGAAAGAAGAAAGAAACCAACATCAATCAAGTTTCCAACATACAGCTGGACAAAAGAAGAGATTGTATAATTTGCAGATAAAGAAACAGAATGGCCAATATATTAACCAAAGCACACTTAATATCTCTACTTATCAGACAAATTAGTAAATTTTTTTCTGATGGTGGGAGTAAGCATTGGCACCTTTCTGTAAAGAAATGTGTTAACATGTCTGGCAAATTCAAAAATATTCATATACTTCACTAAGTAATTCTATTTCCAGGAGACTTTTCAAAAGACAAATAATATATATGTAAGTACAATTTATATATTATTCCTTATTGTATATCTTAATATTGTAAAATTTGCCAAAATAAGAGATTGGTAGAATACATTATGAGTGAGGAAGAATGGAATTATTCAGCTACCAAGTATCATGAAATTCCTATTATATAATAGGTAAGGTGTAGAGGAAAAAGGATGTAAATTATGTATATATTTTGAGCTTAATGATAGAACAAATTATAAAGAGAAAAAAAAGAATAAGCACCATAATTTAATTAAGATTACATCTAGATGGTGAATTATATTTGGGTGATTGTTTTCTCATTTTTAAAAGATTTTCAGTAGTTGCTAAATTTTCTTTACCTAATATCACTTTATCATAAGAAATAAGTTGTTTTTCAAATAAAAAAATTAAAAATTGTGAAAATCATGGGGAAAAGATGATGTATAATATTCATTTGGCTTTGAAAGTATGTAAATTTAAAAACAAACAACAAACAAAACAACTGCAAACAGAACAGGGACATTTTGCAGGCAACCCCCCTGAAAGGAAAGGAGCGACACATAGTAGCAATTCACCAGAGAGTTCCGCTTTATTAGGGAAAGGTGCTGGGTTATATAGGAAGGGGCATGAATTGATTGAGGTGTCACTTCCTCGGGGCTGGTGGCTGTTGGCTAGGTGCTGGGATTGGGAGGGGGGCGAGAGGTGATTGGCTTCAGGTGGCGCTGGCGGGAACTGAGGACCCCGAAGAGAAGCCGGAAGTTTGCCATCTTACTGGTGGGACCCTTCATTCCCCCCTTTCTCCTCTATGGGTTTGTGGACGTTGCTTTCTCTCTGGCTGCTTCCTGCTGAACAGGGGCGGAGAAGGGAGTGAGGGCTTGAGGATTGGGAGGAAAGGGTTGATAGGACTCCCCACAGTAAGGACGAGTAGATGTGGACTTCTTCAGGTTGGAAATCAATGAAGGTTCCCTGTAACCATAGGTTGGCCAAGAGGATATGGGTGTCAGGAGCCAGGCGTCTGCGGCCATTGTTTCCAGGAACAGTTTCCAGTGGAGAGAGGGGTCCATCTCAGCGTGTGGTGAGGAGGTCACGTGAGGGTGAGGGATCTTCTGTGGCCAGAAGCTGGTAGTTCCTGAGTAAAAGCTGGTTGAAAGCTTGATTAGAGATTTTTCCGACTTGGGATTTGATGAACTTTATTATACAGGGTAAGAAGAGACAGGCGAGAAGAATGATTATTATGGGGCCTGCAATGGGCCAGAGCCAGGTGAGGAGGGGGTTTGTTAGTATTGAAGAGAATGGGTTGGAATTGGAAGCAGAGTGGAGGCTGGAGGCAAGGTCAGTGAGTTTGGTGATGTCAGTTTCTACAATGCCGGATTCGTTGATGTAATAGCAGCACTCTTCCCGGAGGAAGACGCAGGTGCCGCCCTTCTCGGCTGTAAGCAGATCTAGGGCCCGCCGGTTTTGAAGGGTGACTTTAGCTAGCGAAGTGACCTGTCTTTGGAGAGAGGCTAGGGAATCGGCAGTGGATGTCAGGGCTCCCTCAAGTTTGGCGTCGAGATCTCTAACTGCCCATAGAGAGTGACCCAAGGCTCCTCCCGAAAACCCCACCCCAATGGCTGAGGTGATTAAAGAGATACCGACCATGATGGGAAGGAAAGCAGCCCTTTTTGTGCGCAAGGGCAAGGGAGGTTGGAGCTCAAGGAATTCTGCCATGCTGTAAAGTGTAAGCTGTGGGATTAGGGTGACGAGAATGCAGGGTGTATCGGAGTTGAGAGGCAGTGAGTTGAAAAGACTGCCATTACACTAAAAGAAGTGTCCCGGTTGTGTAAAAGTCTTAGAGCCGGAGGTAGGGGTGTAGATAGAGAGGCAGTGAAGTGCGCTGGAGGGGGGTGGAGTTGGGCCTACACAGTGGTGGATGGTGAGATTATCTGCGTATTCTGGTTCCCATAGGGGTATGTCTGCCAGGGGGCAGAGGGGTTGTCTTTCTGCATGGAAGGAGTAGTTGGAAATATTAAGGGGCACGGCGGCCAGCAGTGGGCGCTGTAGTGATGCACACAAGAAACAATTGGCTGTGTTAAGGGTGTGGTTGAGAAAGATGGTGGTGTCCTGAATGAGCTGTAATGAAGAGTAGGAGAAATGGGAAGAGGGGTGGGGATAAGAAGATGAAGAGGCGCCGTCAAGAGTTTGGATAATGACTTTTTCGGAATGTCTGCTATCTGATGCAACTTGAGAGATCTGGGAATGAGAGGGAACATACTTTCGAGAGATATGAAGGGTACCGTGGGGGGTCGAGGACCCCCCGTAGTAAACTGAGGCTGTGACTCTGGCAGCCCATCGAGAGTCCCAGGGATCTGGGATTGATAAGGAGAATGAGCCGTTGGGATATTTCATGAAACGGTTGGAGGAGTAATACTGTGGGTACTGGAAGTTACCCATGTAGTGAATGGCGCAAGACCAGTAGGGACATCTCCTGTAGGTGTCTGGCCATCGCCTGCAATAGGCTTGTTTTTGGTCATAGAGGAAGCAGAGGTAGGGAGAATAAGGGTAGCTGCTAGTGAACACTTCGGTGGAGGGAGGAAAGTGGAGGTATAAAGGCTCAGAGCAGCTTTTCAGAGGGCAGTCTGGTGTGGCAATGAGGGCAGTAACTTTTGTTTGATGCTGTGTGTAAGTCTGTCTGACTTTGAATCGCCATACAAAGGAGGCTGGGGTGGTGGGGAAGACAATAGGAATGAGGAAAAAAAGCGAGAGAGCAGTAAAGGAGGAAAAAGTCATGATTCGGGTATGGATGGCAAAGGGGGTGAACGGGATTTTGGAGGAAAGAGGACAGTAAGGTCAGGAGTCTGGAGGGAGGGAGAGTCTGTAAACTTTTGTAGGTTAAGAGATCTTTTAGGTGATGTGGGGACAGAATGGTAAGGGGCGCTCTGAAT